CCCCCCGAACTCTTACTCACCATCACTGGAGCCCTGGTGCTGAACACGTGGCCTGGGTTTGAGGCAGGGCAAGAGGCACATGCACACTCATCTGTACACACCCAATGTGTCCACAAGAACAATTGCTGCTGATTTATCAGTAGTTTTAAAATGAATTATAGATTTTTTTTCATTTCTGCCAAGTTGTACTACAGTTGTTAAATCAGAGCAATTAAATTATGTGAGTGTAATATATTCATAAGTACAATCTGTTTCAAGTTATAAACAGGCTTCTTTCCCCCTCTAATAATCTTGGCCATGTGTCCTTGATATTTAAGGGGGAGGGAGACAGTTTGTTAGCAAGGGGTTAAATCTTCAGCCATACAGCACAAATGCATGATCACGTAGCAGGTTTTTTGGTTGTAGCCATGTTGGTCTAAGGACAAGACAGGCAAGGGTCTTTGAGATGTGATCTCTTTTATTAGACCAACTGAGTAGCATTAAGTAACAAATGCATTATCACTGGAAAATTCAAACACACAGTCCTCACAGTGGATGTGTCTCCATCAAATACTTTATTACACAGTAGACTAATCTATTGTACAGTAAAGTGTCACCATCTACATGTACACATATTTACTGCGCAGTAGTGCAAGTGTGGATGCTGGCTGGGAGAAAATTTGCTTCTAGTCAGCCCCTACACTACGGGGAGAAAAGAGGATGGGGAACTCCCCAGGTCCTGGCACTACTCAGCTCCCAAGAGCTGAGAGCCAAGCAGTGCTGGGATGGCATAGCTCTCTACTCTTCCCCCTCCCCCACTCAATCCTCCCCATGTGCTGCTCAGCTCCTAGCTCTCCATAAGATATCGGAGCCAAGCAGCACCAGGACTCAGGAGCTCCCTGCTTTCCCACCCAGCCTGGAGCTGGCCAGGAACTGTCCCATTCTGGAGCAGGCGTCAGCCAGCTCTGGGCTGTGCCGAGAGTTCCCTCTGCAGCCCGGAGCTGGCCAGGAACTATCTTGTTGTGGGGTAGGTCCCAGCCAGCTCCAGGATATGCAGAGAGGTCCCTGCCCAGCCTGAGGCTGTCCCAAAAATGGGACAGTTCCTAGCCAGCCCTGGGCTGCACAGGGAGCTCTTCATGCAGACTGGAGCTAGCTAGGATCTGCCCCACAATGGGACAGTTCCCAGCCAGCTCCAGGCTGCACAAGGATCTCCTTGCACAGCTTGGAGTCAATTGGGACCTGCCCCAGAAGCTGAACAGATCCTGGCCAGCCCCAGATTATATGGGGAAGCCCCACGGGGTTCAGGGTTTGTCCCCATGTGCATGGGGTGGGAGCTCTGGAGCAGCAGATGTCTCCCAGCCCTGTGCACATCAGGATCCCTCTCAATGTGTATGGGGCCAAGAGACAGTTACTGCTCCCTGCCAGTGGAGCTCTCCTGGCCCCACGCTCCCTGCCAGTCCTTGGGCTAGCACAAGGATGGTCTGGAGCTCCCCTGGCTGGTGAAGTGCAGAGTATGGCAGGAGAACCCCTGTTCAAATCTGCTCCCAAGAGGGAGCACATGCAGACATGCTCCTGGGTAGGCTTACTACACAGTATTTTTGCTGTGCAGTAAACCTACTTTGAATTCATAGCATGTGTAAAAGTGCCCAGCAAGCTGTCTACCTGTCTTAGCTTAGACCCCTAAGATAAATATTTTACTATGAGTTTTAAACATGTCTAGCAGGAGATTGTGCTAATAAAACAGCAACAAATGCCTAATGTTACACTATTGGCATAACAAAGTAGTGATTCTCAACCAGGGTACCATGAGATCCATTTAAGGGTGTCACACAATATTAGCACTGTTATGTGTGCAAACCCTTACACAATTTACAGGATAAACTCAGAGATTTCCAATAGGAATCCATTGTGTCAAAAACATTCTGATCTGTTGTGGTCTTTGAGTTCTTTGCAACAGAAGAATTGTTCTTTTATTTTTGTGTAGTCAAAAGTGAGTGAAAGGTAAAAGCTGGCATTTTCTGAGGGGTGTCTTGAGTCTAAAAAAGGTTGAGAATGTCTCATATAAAGGTTGATCATTGCTAGATTCCCTCCATGTTCATTTCCTCAGTTGTTTTCAATAAAGGATCCTCTTTCTGGAGATGACAATTTTGCAAATATCAAGTCTCACCCCAACTACAAGCAAAGTCACTTTATAACTTCAGTCAGATGGTTGTGGAACTACTACTAAGGAAAGGATGTATTCTGAAGAAATTGTTCATTAAACAAAGGGAACAACACTTTTATTTCTACTAATACTGACTTTTGAATTTTGTAATGCAATGTTTATAATTAAATGATATCCAGTTCTTCAATTAACTGCATGTAACATGGCATGTTCTCATTTTATTTCTATTGCAAACTTAGTTTAAATGTATTGGATCAGATATAGAAGTTACTAAACCAAATGTCGCGTTTCATCTCTTTGAAGAGTTGGAATTATACATACGCACTGAGGTCTGCTTCAGAATGCTAAGCGTTGCTAGAAGTTCCTCCATTAACCCATAAACCACCGTTTCATATGTTAAGTTGAAAGACCAAAAGGTTTCTCTCTCTCTCTCCCTTTAGGTCCGGAGGGTTATTAGATCTCCATAATCCCTTGGCCTTATTTATCAAATGTGGTGGAGTTAAGGGCCCAAATTTGGAGCATTGTCCTATGACCCAGCCCCACTCGAAGACACTGAATTGAATGATCACACAACACAAGGATGAAGTTAAACTCCATCATATATTGTAACAGAATAAGTCAAAATAACAACAACCCTAACCAATATAAATGAGAATCATACAACAGGTAACAAGCTAATATTTACATAAGTGAATCAAAACACCACACTGTCACCACAGGGCGGCAGTAAAGTACATTTCGACCTGTTACAGTGAGTCTGCTCCTCCCGTCTCCACTATAACTAACAAGGTTTTCTAATCCGTTCCCTCAGCAAGTTCTAGGCACCTCAAAACCTGGGGAGGGTGATACGTTACCATCTCCGAGTGATGGAAGGAGCTGCTCTCTCAGGCAATTCTCCTTACCAAGCCAATGGGAATCCTTTCACTCTGTCGCAACCCCCCTTCACACACATGCACCTTCCACTTCAAATCAAACACCTCTCTCAAGCACCTGCACGTACCTAACCAGTGTTCGCCATCCACCCTCCCACATGAAGGTGAACACACACACCAAGAAGCGTGCGCACCACCCCAATTCTCTCTTCACAATCCCTTTTTAAACACCTCTAGTACCTCACTCCTACCAATCATTAGTCCAGCCAACCATCCACTAAATCACCTGTCCATCACCAATGGACCACTCAGGAGCACTTTCCCCTCGCACAACAGTTGCTACATTTTCCCGCCAGGAGGGTTACATAACCAAGGGGCACCATGCATGCTCAAGATGAATGAATGTATGGAGCTGGGTCATGGTATCATCAAGGGCAAAGGTTCACACCTTCTAAGACCTTCAAGCCCTGTTGCCATGTACAAATGCGCACATGCGCCACAATGTAATAAGCAACCAGGCCAGAATCTGGAGTCTACAAAGTCACAGTTCATATTGATCGCCCTCAAAAAATGATGCGTCCCTCTCCTGTACTCCTTGAACAAAAGGGCAGTCCCAAAATATATGCAGTACAGATTCGTCAGCCCTACACCCCTCTCTTGGGCAAGCTGCCAATCTTACCAAATCCCATTTCTGGTGAATTCCCCTCAGAGGAAGAATATTCC